GCTAGCTAAAGAGCTGGTTCTCCTTCTCTAGTCCAGGTGCACAAGACCGCTACGATAGCATGATCGCGAACGGCCTATACGGAATAGCTGCGCTGCGAATGGGAAAAAGTCGGTCTGAGGATGGTTGGAACGAAAACTTCTGCAGGCGATCAGTGGCCACAGTGGCGGTGGCGAGCGAAGGATATTGAACGTGTCGTGTTTTTACATCGTAAAGGACGGCCCGACGCAGCCGACCCTTTGTATAGCTACCGTTGTAATTTGTTTCAAAGTTTTGTGCCAGTCTGTTGTGGGCTGCTGTTGCAATTACGTAGTGGCTCAAGGGATGGTAACTCGCAACATCGACTGGACTATCGGTTCATCGCGCCGTGGGTCCACGAGCTTTTTCCCCCTAAGCTTGGACTTTCCAGCTTTGCTCTTACCATTCGCGCGTGCGGCTTTTCCGTTTCTCTTCTCTATAATACAAGACCTTATTGGATCTACCCCTTTCGTTGCACCGTAGCTTGCAAACCTTTTTTTCGAACCGTTCCCAATCTGAAGGCACTTTTTTCCTTGCTTATCGAGCGCAAACAAGCCGCTGATAGCTGCGCCGTTTGCTTCCAGATCGAGCGACGGATAGTCGCTGGCAACTGCAACGGTTGCTGCTGCCGCTACTGTTGCTGCAAAAGGGCTGCCGGCGGAGCAAATGCTCTTGGCTACCATTAGGGCAAAAGCCGTCCTGCTGGCGTCGTCCACAAGCGGCTATTTGGCAGTTTACACGACGCGCGAGCCGTGAGTCGTCGCCTGCCTAACTCTTTGTCTATTTCGTGTGCACTACAAGGAGATAACGGCAGCGACCATCCGTCGATGGATGGGTCGCTGTGATACAGCGTCCGATTTAGTTAGCAACCGGGTGCATGTACATACACGAGCACATTTTATTTGCATAAATTTGACTTACTCAAGCAATTAGCTGACATTTATATGATACCAGTCGTTGATCTGTCGTAATAAAAGGGAGCATTTTCCTCCACTCTGGGAATAGCTGTATCCCCATACATGGTGGATAGTGTTGAAGTACTACGTAGGTTCGTGTAACGATAGTATTTCGTTCGGGCACTAAGTACAATACTCTTTTCTAGTAGCAAGATGATCGTCTGCTGATATGATTTCTTACTACATTTGACCCATTGCCATTACCCCTGCTTGCATCAACTAGCAGCCTATTTGTATAGGACTGGTGAAGGAAGATTTAAAAATTTCTTTGACAGGCACAATTAATAGTATCGTTATTGATGTGCTTGCTCAAGTCCTTTCAGAAGGAAGAATGTTAACGAAATGCAAAAAAGTTGCACCATGCCGGGTGCAATAGAGGGAATTAGGACCATATCATCTGTTTATTAACTACATTATTACAATCCGTTGTAGGCAGCCCCATCTAGTCGCGTTATTTGCGTGTGACGCCACGAGCGTAACAAGCATTTGCTGATCTGTTCGTGTCAACAGCGATAGTAGCACTGGTGTCTCCGAGTCATACAGCTTGAGTGCGGCTTAACCTGCGGTGCCTCAATGGAAGCACGAACAACAACAAAAACTTTGACTTCCCGCCGGCCATAGCCGAGAAACAGATCTCAAACCAAAGCAATGCAACCACTTATCGTGCGCCACCCTAACGTCATCGCGCCGTTGCATCTTGGCCGTGCAACCCCCAGTAAAACAGCAAGGGTAGCCACCCTTTACCTGTTTTGACGAAGCTTAGGCCTCTCCGCCTGCTTTGCCGTTGCCACCGCTGCTGCCGTGGCTAGTGTTGGTAATGAAATACACTTAATACAGTTACTTTCTGTTGATGCATGCCGCTTCCTTCCCTGAGGATGAGGGCGCAAGGTTCATTCTTTCCGAGACACCCGACCTCTCACTCCTGCTAGCTCTATAGTAGTATCCCAGTAGTACGTAGTTAGGTAAATCGCGTGAGTGCTCTGGCTAATTTTGCTAGCTGATGCTACTCGAGCATGGTCGGCGTTCGCGTTTCAGTATACGTCCTTCCTGTTGTACGGTGCTAAGGGAAGCTTTCCTGAACAACTAGCCTATGCTCTTCCCGCCTCACTCCGCACATTAACGGAAGCGAACGTTGCTAATAGAAGCAGCAAGGCCCCGATTCTCGTATCATAGATTACGTTTCGTGTGCATCTAGCCTAATTTTAGTGTAAAAAAAAACTATACAAACTACGGGATTATAGCATTTGACAGCAGTGTTGCCTGCTGTTATAGAAACAGTCTTAAATTAATGCCTCGAGCAAAGGATAAGTACATTTTAATAACCAAATATAAGTATCTGTAAATATATTGGTCAAGATGAGCACAGCCTTTCAATGCAACGTATGGCCGCGATGATCAAGGTGAACACTCATTATTACGTACGTAAGTATATAAGTTGTACGTGCGACCGATGGGATTAGACAAAGGAACTGCACATCGAGTGATTCAGCTTAGAGCGTGTTTCGTGCTCTTGCAAGCTCGGCTCGCTCAGCCATTGTACTGATTGCTCTGATATTTTACTTCTGTCAGGTGCTTATATGCATGTTTTGCATTATCTCGATCACGTAGGGCTTCTGGTTCTACAAGGAATGTCTCTGATTGCACCAACCTTGCTGTTGACTCTTTTACGCAGCTAAGCTAAAACTTCGAACGAAAGAAATCTAAGAGAAGCGACAACGACGAGAAGGTTACGTATTTAGCGAGTATAGTACTTGCCATTAGAGCACAAACCTTACAGAACCCCTTTGAGGTGCGGAACCACGAGGCTTATTTGGGCTTTTCATTAGCGTCTTCATCTTTCGAATGTCCTGCTGGTAGTCAGCGTACTACGCGTCGCAGCAAAAGACGACGGTTGGAAAAGCGATAGAAACTATGCATCTCATAAGGGTGCAGCTGGCCCTTAGAAAAGTTCATAGATTCGACAAAAACGGAAAGCCCGCGTAAAAAAGAGTTTATACATGTTTTCACGAGGTCGACAGCTACGATGCCCAGTCATGCTCAATTGAAGTTTAAATTATTTGGCAACTGGAAACTTGTAACTATCGCCGCGCCACCGGAAAGGATCACAAGTGCTGAGGCGTCCTTAGGAACTTCCAGGAAGGTGGAGAGCTTTTGCTCAATGAAGCACCGACGTAAATAGGCTTTTGTATACAAGAGATCGGGTTCGACTTTCGATTCGATATAGACCGCAATATATGCAGTAGACCTGCGTCCTATGGATAGTCCTGCGAAATACTCTTCCAACGAATTGTTTCATCATTCTTATCATTTTTATTTGGACTACTGAGCTGGTGAATTATATACAGTCGGTGTTGACATTGGATTGAGGTAGCCGAATTTCACTTTGTACTCTTTAGCGACGGCTAAATTTGACGACGATGATGTTACGAACCATACAATAAGTGTACTTTGATACTGGTGTTATCTCATGACCTGGTATCATTATTGTTATATGCAGTTGCTACTCGGTCTAGCAAGCCATTTTGGCTGATAATTTAGTCCGCTGACTGATAACATCAACGCAACTCCTTGATCAGAAACACAGGCAAAGCGGGTAGTTTACAAACAATTCTATATAATGATATGCATCTTTCCAATGGAAATTGTATGTAAATACATATCCTTAAAATGTAAAACGTAAAAACATGTCGTTATAAAATTACCAGTATAACATGCGGAATAAAGCTCCAGTTTCACAAACAAAGAAAAACTCCATTGTACGTAATTGTCTTTATACTAATTAGCATTATACCCAGAATTTGTGCACACCAGCTCGCTGTGTGGCCTGTTGATAGCCTAGGTGCTCGGTCTACTTAAAGAACACCATACGATCTCACACGTTCACACAGACAGATACGCTCAATAAATCAAAAACGGTCGGATCGATTGATAGAAACTTCTATACTTCATTCCCCCGCCAATTATGTCTCGCCATAGAAATAAGCTCTCGATGAAAACGTTTCGTCTTGCAAATGGGGTAATAAAAGCCGTGAAGATGATGAAGTGTTCATTTGGGCCAATCCTCGCTCACGATAAAATCGAAGGGCCACTATAGGCCCCTCTGAAGAAAAGAGAGCGGCGCCTTTTTTTGTTTTATCTGTTAGTCGTTGCCCCTAGTGACGATTCACGTTAGCGGCCTTCTGGCATTGTAAACAAGTAACGGGCATCTAAATTGACACCTGTTACTTTAATTACATTATGCCGCCTAATCTGTATATTTGTCTCGCAGAAATTTGCTATTCGATTACTATGGCTAGCACGTTTTCCGTAAAATGTCACCGTAAATTTCGAGCGGAAGCAAGTTACATTCAATACCTGCCCAAGCTAGTGCAATGATGATCCGAGCTAAACGGAGATTTAAGACAGAGCTATTGCTTCTTGTTTTGTTGGACCTAACGGGTTAAGTCCCAGATGCGATAGCATCGATGCTGCAAGGCTAAAAATGTTAATCTCAAAGTTTAGAGTTGTCATCATTTCCTTTCGTACCGCTTGTCGTTCGCCTGCATTCAGCAAACAATATAGGAAACACGGGAATCGTTCGCTTCTGCACCCAATTACTTACAGAAAGACCATTTGTAAATAAAACCTGTCCTTAATGAAGAAGTTTAATTCTTTCTTCAGTTACATTTTCTTTCCACACACCTGCACATACGTAAGCAAAAAATCTATTTTCATATTAGGCCTATTTTTATCTGCGTTTCCGTCTTATTCGCGTATGACCAATCAGACGGTCGCAATTACAATGAATTAGTTAGTTATCCTGCTAGCATTTAGTTTCTCGTAGGCAGCCTGTTGTTAGGAACATTCTGTTTCCGGCTAGTGTATAGCCACACGTAGTTTGTGTATCTTTCTGACCATCTAATGTTAATTTTATCCGTTGTCTAGACATTCGACCGTTTAGCAGTCTGCGCCTAATGTTCCGATTCAGAGAACTGGGTAGAAACTATCTGGCATAGATGATAAGAAAACGAAGTGAGGCATCATTTTAAGCGCAATTAATAGCACGACACAACGAACTACCCCGCTATGGTTTGTCTTAAAATTAAGTTGAATGATATCCGGTCACTATGACTCAACAATATGTACAACGTTTTTGTTTGCTGTTCACTAAATCCCTAGAAAAGAGTCAGCTACGTTTGCTCTGTAGCGTTGGTAAAACGAAATGTGGGGCCTGGGAGCCTATGTCTGCGACAAGAATGCTTTAGCCACCGTAATCAGGCTCAATAACCGAACTTGTTCGTCATCTTCCTTCAGTTTTAGGCCCGCGTGAAGCGCTCTTGTGGAACTGCACACTTACAGATATCCCTGTGTAATCTATGCTTGTATGTAAGAGCGGATATCCAACTGACGTTGCCCGACTTGATCATTTAGTGTGGTTTTAAAGTACTGATTCCAAAGGCTCTAAATTACTAATGATCGGCCTGAACAGGAAAAGGTAGGTCTGTGCACTGCAACCAACACTATTACGAAAATCTACCGAATGCAGGAACATATTGGCCGATAGCTATTCGCGGCGTCAAACTCGAGGCGTGTTTGGGTTTAGCTAATATTCTGTTAAAAGCACGTATAATTCTCAACCGGCAAATATATAGTGAAAAAATTATATAAATAAATTCTAACATTAGCTTTAGCGACTCGAGACGTTCGACTCCATTGGAGAATGACTGATGTTCTTTCTAGCACGTGTGTCGATGCTAAGTTGCCATTAAAAAATATGCTTACACAACGTAAGTTATAAAATATATATTGTGGCCTTTTAAGGATGTAGTTTCTTACTTCGATGGTAAAAATTGACAGTAGTAAGGTTTTGAGCCTCATGCTAACTGTAATATGGAGTCATCGAGAAGAAGACGAAATGGTAATAGCGGGGCAACTAAGAAATGCGTGAATCGGCTTTATTTACAGCAAGCCCCGCATCTTTCTTTCCAAAGAGACAATAATAACCTACTGGCCGACGTAATACTTCGAGGGCAATTGTGGTTCCATATGAGTCGCGTAGGTGAGCTTGTAGACCGACACTACTTTGCTATGCTGATGCACGCAATGAAATAAACAAAATAATGAATTCCATAAAAACACAGACGGAAATGAAAAAGCTGTGTGTTGCAAGAGTTAACGCTGGTGCCAGCTCGGAAAGGTTAAACCATTCGATGGCAGCGCATACAACGTTTGCAGAAACAATCCACAGGTAAATTTCTTCATTTTTTCTATAGATCAAACAAACAACAGCAGAAATAAGTAGGCATATTTGTATGTATACCAAATGCCACGCAGATCCAGTCTGCCAACTGGATCGTTGAAAAAAATGGTTTCCGCGCAAATAGAGGACTTAAGTTTCATTTTAGGAAAAAAAATTGGTTGGGCGGAGGTGTTTTCTTCTAGTTTCTCTAATCAAGTCTTTCCCTTTGCTTTGAAATAGATATTCTTTTAGTAACATTGAGACGCCACGGTTGCAGCTCGTTTCTGCGGCCGTTACTGTCACCACATTCGAATTCAGTGTCTCGAAGCTTCCTCGACGGCTTTTTGCCCGATTTTGCGACGATGCACAGTATTACCAATTCTAGCAATAACAGCGGTGCCGCGGATGCTCGTCACAGATTACCATTATTATTTCCTGACATCGTTGTCTATATCTACGTAGCTTTTTCTGTGACGTCCTGTTCTGTTCTGATGTCAATCATTGTTTCCCTTTTCTTAGGTTAGTATTTGCTCTCTTACCGTTCGTACGCTGCTGCTTCTGCTGCTGCTGCTGCTACCATGCCTTTATGATTATTTTCGACGTTTGCGTTTGACTTCCGTGTCTCTGTTGTGTACCACGTCGTCCCATCAGCGATGACGTTGCTGAAGCGAGGGCGAAACGAGTTATTTCGCAACGTGAAGACGCGGCTGGACGGTGAAAATACAATGCCTCAGGCTGACGACGAAGGTGTCTAGCCGTCTGGAGTGTGTGTGTGTATGTATGTGCGCGTATGTGATGAGTCTTATACTGTGTGAGGTAAGCGTTTGTGCAGAACGGCTCAGAGCTATGCGGAGACGCGTGGAGCCCCAGAGGGGCCCCACGTGGATTGGGATCAGATAATGGTCGCTTGGCGTAGAAAGAAAAGCGCGCAGTGTGAGCCAGGAAATTGCTGCTGGCCGATGTACAATGCCCTTGCCGTTCAACGTTCGTTCGGCGTTCTTGGTCCTTTGAGGAATAATGTCACACTTCGTAGCTAGTGGTCCTAACCCAAACACTTGTAGCCGCACACTGAGGACAAGCAGCAGAGGATAATGCAATGAACATAAAATAGGTTTATGGCAAGAGAAGGTTTTATCAAGACTGAGAACAGAGAAGCGGCTATCTATGTGAAGAACATCCAATAAGAAATAGATATTTTTTTAATAATAGTAGACACTCTGGCTGTTGATGTTACCATAGTCTGCTATGTAGATAATTCTTGTCCAGTACGAGTTCTACCAAGAAAAGGACTTTTTTAATACTTTTTTGTTTTATGTATTATTCCAATGTCGCTTTGTCCATTGAACAGAAATTGAACATCCTTGCGTTCCTTATACTCAGATAACAGAAACGTTTTGGGCTGATACAAGAACGATTCTTCATTCATGTCACTCAAATTATGTTACATGTTATAAAACTCGTAATAACGAACAAACTTAATAGGATAACGTTTTCGTAAAAAATATTTGATAAAAATCTTCGTAGCTTCATTGCTGATGACGCCAATCGAGTCTGTGGTAATAGCTGGCACATATAAAGCGAACTAAACTTTTTTGTGGCAGAAGTTAGTAACTTTCAAGCAATCATGTCGCATTGTGTTTTACGTTATGCTGAAGATCTTATACTGACTGAATTACTGAACGTACTAAATTACATATAGCGTTTTATGTGACTGGTACGCGAATCTATAGTTCTAACATGATAAATTCCGTACGCAGTCGCATACCTAACTTTTGAAGGGAATCTTCCTAAGGAAAATGGTAACGATTCAACTAGCATCTTGGACTTGTTTATAACTCGATCTAGATAAGCTACCTGGATCTATTTCGTTGCAGTAGTTCAATAAGCAAGAATACCTGTACTGTAATAAATCTTCAGACCGCCAAAGCTCTTCGCGGCTGATCAGTTACGAGAGCGCCGGTGGCGGGTCATCTTTCTGTTCGCATTAACTCTTAACTTTTCCATCCCTCTGACGCCCCTTTACGCCAAGCTTACGTAACCACCCGTTAGTTTGCTAGCAACTTGGGCTATAGCTTGCTTATCGGTAACATCCTCCATGAGACGAGACATTATCTACTGTAATCTAAAGCGAGCGAGAAAAAACCTGTAATAAATACAGGAGACCTTGTTGGCTGCACCCTGCTAACTAATCGCAAGCTCTGATTATCGTCTGTATGTTATTGAAACGAGTCAACACTTGTTTTGGTATTGAAAAAGAATTGGGAAAGCTCGCTGTTCATAGTATTACTTTAGGTCAATCGAGGTTGCACTTAAGGCTTTCACAAGGACATCATAGAGGAAAAGATCGAAATGGCAGTACGAATAAAATCGTATGATCGAAACAAGCTATAGTCACAGTGGAATTACACTGAATGACTGGCCATTCCTCATGCCTCAATGATTCAACGTAACACGCCCCATCTACCCAGAACGGGGTCCTTGAGCTGAAGTTGGTTGAAGAGAGAAACCCTCTCATGCAAAATCTAAATCCATGCAACAGTCACGTTACATTCGATGAAAATTGAGAGCTCAACAGTGCAGCCTAATAGCGATTTTTAAGTTGGGGATTCGGAGAACAATCCACAGACTCAATAAAATGGGACCAAGAGAAGCTTTTTTACTCGGTACTAAGCGTTTTGGAAATGGGCTTGTAAATAGATCAAGCAAAGCTGGCTTATTCTATATACATATCTGCCATATTAACCAACATCTGTCAACGAAAACTGTTCTGTCTGAAAAAGTTGCGTCGCCATTTTTTTAGATAATACCTGCAGTTACCGAGGGAACTTTCAGTTACAGCCCGTGAATGAAACATTGAGCGCATTTGTAATTTTTCAATGCTCGATACGGTAAATTTCATATTAGTGTATATAACCGAACTAGGTTGTGGACTCAATCAACCACAAAGCCTATTTTAGCAGTTTTAAAAGGTCCAAATAACGTAGGTAAAATGATTTACTAATCTCCGTGAGTAAGTCTTTGGATCGTATCTCTCTCTCTATATATATATATATCCGCGTCGAAACCACAATCTTTCAAATACGGAGCGAATAGCTTTCACGAAAGTTTCAAGAGCTCATGCAAAGCTTGTCTGTAGCCCATCTGGCTACAGGTTACATTGACACTGCGGCCAACTTAATGTTTTTTTTGGTTGATAACACGTCTCTTGTTTGTAACGCAACTCAATGAAGATACGGTTGAGCAGAAGCAGAGCACAAAAAGATAACTGTCCCAAAAGGCTTTTGTAGAAAAAACACTATCTTAAAAGCCTATTCCCGTTTTTCGCAAGGAGCTCATCATGGGTGGTGAGTCATGTCATCACCTACCGCTAACATCCAGGTTATCTGAAATCGTCGCCTTCCAGCGCAATATAGTCCATGCTACCTTTCAACTGCCACTGAAAAACTTAACTTTAAAGTAAAATAGCTCGACACAAAAATAAACTGTAAAAATGCGCCGAGTACGATATATCTCTTATATAGATAGATATAGATAATTAGCCTCAGCGCTTGCAAGTCATTTCGACAAGATGGACTCTCCTCGTGTAGAGCGATTTCTCCCTTGAGTGTCGATTTTTTCATTATTTGTTTAATTATTATTTACTCGCTCAGCTTCCCGACGTTCAGCAGCCTGTTTGAGTGGCATAGCATATACTGATTTAGTTATCTATTTTTCTACATCGTATAAATATCCAACAGGAGTGTAGGTAGTGTTACATCGGTATCGACCGGCCTGTCAATAGCAATATCGTTCGACCGAAATAAAGGTCTTCCCTAAGCTAAGGTTCCTAAGCAACTTTTCCGTTCGGAAGTGAAGGCACCGCACAGTCCCAAGATTCAGGTTCGTCCTGAACCAACAGGCTTCACTAAGGTAGTTGTTAAACGAAACTGTCGTTTTAACGAACATCTTTTCCATTGATGTGATTTCGTGATACGTGATTCTTTTCTTTCATTTGCACCCGTGTCGCCTGGCACTATTTGTAAATTTTTCATTCTTAGGTTTCTCTGGGTAGGAAGATAATCGTTTCGAACTCTTCTACGAAACTAGTCGAGAAATTGTAGCGTGCAGGCATCTTACGAAACTGCTAATGCTGAAGGCTGATATGAACGCGAAGAGCTCTGTTGAGACTAGTAACACTCACGCATTGTAATATGCGCCTTGTATGTGGGCTCTGCTAAAAAAATTCGACTAAAGTCGGATCTTTACTCACATGAAGATAACAGGTCTGGATCGGAACGTGCCAATGAACGGCGTACTAACGTTACGCACGAATGGACGAGATCACACAGAAACTGATGATGCGTTAGCCATAACATTCAAACGATTAATTACAAGTTAATGGCCGAACGATAGGAGCTTCTGTTTGACGTTGTTGGACAACTATATGTGGCTGAACGAAACCAGAGACAAGATGTAAACCAAACTTTAGCAGGATATGGCTTACGGAAGAGATTTACGAGACAGGATCAGCAAAGAGGAGTCGTGTTCGAAGCTATAGGCACATAGATGACAACCGGATATTTCCTTTGTAAAGTTTTCCGCTGATTCTCACTGATACGTCTCCGTGCTCATAATTGGCCATTAGACCGAAAAACCGCAAGAGCTGCTTATCGGACAGGGGAAACTAGCTTCGACTCGAGTCACGAGTCCAAACTTAGTTGAAGCTGCTTTAAATTTCGCGAACCTCTAGGCCACAACAGGGCTGGACTGGTAGAGGACTCTGTTTCTGCTTCCGCGGCAGCTGGCCCATGACATCCGAGATCAACCGGTCAACCTAGTCAAGCTGGAGGGGATGGCATAAAAATTATTTGTCGAAGCAACAGTACAAGCCAGCGACAGACGGACGGCCTCGGCAGTGGCCATCACAGGAACTTCTGGAATTGCTGAATCGCCAAGCAACCCTTCAAAATACTGAAGATTGTAGACAACGCTTCCTGCATCCCATACAACGCAAAAAATATGAGGTGTTGGCGGGCCACAATAGGTCAACGCGACGTTACGCTTCGAAATATGCTTTATTGACCTCAGTGAAGAATGTAGTGTGAACTGTTGCTACTTCGATTACCAGTCGAATACTGAGCTCCGGATTCCTCTTGGGCGTTTCCAAGCAAATGAAAAAAAAAACAGGATTCACTTAAGCAGCGAACGGTGTGGTATGGCCCGCGACATGGTCCAACCGAACAGCGCTAGCGGCATCAGATCTGTATAAGAAGACCGTATATGTATAAGAAGACGAATTGTATACAGAGCCCCTATGACCATTTCTATCAGAGACCTCCATCATAGAATATGCGCATTTACAGAAATATAACTGCGACTTCGTCCGCACCAGCTATATAACCACCAGACTTCTGTTTTCCTATAAGATTGGTATCCAATTGTTTTGTAATAGGTTCGTTATGTCACCCGGCTATTGCAGAATAGATTCTATATTTAGCAATAACCGTCTTTTTTGACGAGTGACTATAAATACTAGAAGATACACTAGTATTTCACACACACACACAGAAAGAAAGTCTATATTTCGAAGGTAAATAGAGCCAACAAAAGAAAAAGTATTACTGTTATTATTATTATTAAAATTTTATATTACTACTAATTTAAATCTGCATTTTGTTATATAGTATTTAATTATTTTCGAAAAAGCTGCATTGGAAATGTTTCAGAGTTATCGAGATGGTTGGCGCTAGACCCGTTTTTACCTAAAGTACACTGCATCGTAGACTTCTCTCTCTAATTTTTCCAACCAGATATTCGACCCGTCTTTTTCAGAAGTCGTAAAGCAATTAACTCTTCTGACTGACCCCAATTATCTCACCTACATAAAGCTATATATGGCAGTTTCTCCGAACGTTCTGATGGCCGACACGTACTCGAGCATGAAAATCAGGTCCACTACTTCGTTCGGTATGGCTACCTGTAGTTCTGTCCTTGGCCTTATATCGATTTTGAATCACTCGTTTATCACCTAGCACGCAATGCTGAGTGGCCATGACGGGTTGTTGTAAATCAGGCTAAGATCATATAAATATTGATCACCCTGGCGGGGTCCTTACCTAGCTGGTAGCTGAAGGTAGCCAGAAAATTAGTTCCACCACTAATTGTGAGGTGCATAAGCGGGAACTGACGCCAGCGTTATATATCCGAATAGCATATTTTTGGAGGACGCTTAAGTGCATTTGGCAGAGAGCGAACAAAATTGTCTTCGTCCTTCTGAGAGGATTATTACTTTTCTATCTTCCTGCTTCAATCAGGTGGAGAGTTTCGAGCTTCAATGAAGAGAATCGAGTTTCGGTGATACGTTAATCGTTTGCTATGACACAGTAGATTGTTATTCCACTCTGTACTATGTAAATTCTCTCATATAGAGTTGCGTTCCTTAGGCCAATTTCATCTACAGAGCACCAATAAGCTACTACTGTTAGTCATGCGCAATACGCACACACAGACCTCGAGTTCATTAAAAACAATGCAGTTCTACCGCACATTTAAAAAGAACAAAGCGGACAGTCTTTGTAGACGTTCTTTATTCCTATATTTCTCTTCCTCTATCACCCTTTTTTTGTCCACGCATAGGGCTCAATGTGTTCGGTCAGTCTACGTCACCTGCAATGGCAGCGGTTGCAAGGACAAGCTCTTCGCTGTTCGTACGCTTTTGCCCCGATCGTTGTTTCCGCGCTTTCCCCGAAAGTCAAACTCGTTCCCCGCGGGCGATGACAAGAGAAAGTGTGTAAATCTCCGAGAGGTACCTCTACAAGTGTTGCATTTGCCGCTGTCGATGTCGTGTTTGTCGTTGCTGCTTCTGCTGTCATTATTATTGCTTCGAGTAGTTCTTTTGCAGTTTTTCTTCTACAACTGTTACTTGTTTCTGCGGACAGGCATTTAGCGTATGACCCAGCAAGTGTCGTGGAACAAGAGACTTACTACTAACACTGGCGCTCGTGACCCGCTTCTGTACTAGCCCATCTTGGCGGCCCCGACATTGGGGTGCCTGTTTTGGCAGTTAATCCTTTTCAGTGTTGTGTCACTTAGGGAGAAGTAATGTATTATACGATGCTGGCATTGTTGTTACTGTTGCGATCCCTTAGCGGAACATCCAAGCTCTTGGCTCCTCTATACAAAACAAGCACAAAAGAGCGGTAACGAACACGATTCGGGCTTTGCATGACCCCGATCTACATGCCAAGAGAAACAAACGAAGCTTATGAGCAAATATAATTCTAACAAATGTTTTGTTGGATGAATAGGTTACGAGGTATTAACACCATCGCAAGCCGGTGCGCTCCTACAGGATGATAACGAATGTGGACCTGAAATGAAGCCGTTCGTAATCAGACATAACGGAAAACAGCGGTTTTTCTCTTATCGGTAAATCCATTTGAGGAGAAGAGGCCAGGGAAGTATTTGCGCCTGCGGCGCCTTATACGATTTCGCTTGATTGGGTTGATTCATCTAGTAAAACAATGCGTTTAGGCAAGCGTAGGAAGAGTTCGGTCGCCATGGCTGACTTACAAAAGCATGTTTAAGCTTAGCAAACGAACAAAATCAAATACTGATACATAATATAATAGTATATTTATTGCAGGAACACTTGTACTTTTTCAGTTTAACATTAATTTAGCCGTTCAGACACTGTAGTTAGATAAACACGCCTGGCTTCCTTTGTAACATCTACGTATCTGCATACTCTAATTGTAAGTACTTAGTAGCATATCAAACGCTACCCTTTTTCACGACGCGACAACAAAATAGCCGACGAAAAAACAAAACGAATGAGGAAAACGGTGCTCTGAACATTCTGAGCCGTTTGTTGCGTTCATATATCAGTGCCTTGCAGCTTCAATGTGGTCTACTTTGGCCTGACATTGTCTGGGCATTAATTTGTCTCTCTCCGCTCCAGGCCGGCATATGTGCATACTTAAAACGACGCCTGAAAGTACTCGCCCTACCCAAACACTTATGGTTGTTTCGGCAACCATATCGAATAAATAGCCTTAGAAGGATGGAATGCTTCGCAAATCAAATTATTTCTCGCTGGGACAACATGCACATGTGCCTTTGTCCTAAGCCTAGATGCATGCATCTGCCCGCATACCCTGGGACTGAAATCGCTTAACTACTAGTGCTAGCTTGCTCAACATAACGAAGGGGCAAAGCAATCGTATAAGCAAGCCTTCCGGTCAACGTCGCCAACACATACGCTATCGTTGAGCTACAGAATTACGCCCATTGGCGGACACTGCAGTACAGTCTGCGAGCGAGCTAACCAATCAATAACCATCGAACGACCCAGTGAAAAAAATGAATGAATACGCTGTCGATGATAAATCGGTCGTATCTGCACATACGGCGTCCAGCTAACCTTATGTTTTTTTGCTAAGGTTTAATCCCACCGAGCAATCTCTGCTGGCAAATTCTATGCCAGCTAAAATTTGCCCCGTACCGTTGCAGTCGTATACATTGAGCATTTTGAATAATTCGCGGTTCGAGACATAGACGCAAGTAGAGCACGCAGTCGCTATACAAATTGAACCAGCCTGCAGCTTCCTGACCTAATTTCGTTCGTTTGATATCTTGAAGTCTAAGTATGCATATTGATTCGATTCTAAAATAATCGTATAGCGTATTCGTGGAGGGAAGCTCACAACGTTGACAGAGAACATTGCTTCCTTGTTTCACAACTCACAAGCAGTTACGGCAGAAGCAACAAAATAATATAAAATTCAGACTTTTTTTTTTCACAAGGGGCTTAGTTTCTAACGGCTCCCCTTTGCCGGGAATAGTACAGTGACAAAGGTAATGGCAATTGCGTAAATGTCGGAGGAAATCTGACCTGCCGATGCTGCTGTTGAGAGCAGCGGCGTGCAACTCGGTTTTTGTCGTTAAGTATCTGGTCCGTTTGTTTGGCCGTCCGTCGCTTGATCAGAAGAGCAGTTTCGATCTGTCATCTGGTGAAACAGACATGAGCAGAAACATGACATGATATTGCCTCCAATAGTGCGACCGCTATTAGCACTATTACTATCAAAGCTATGGTCAAACAAACTCTTGGCCACCGGAATTCAACCACCACTTTCGCTTTAGGCTAATAAGCCAAACAACTGGCCACATTGCTATTACAACAATATGGCTTAACAGTGCAAGCCGGTCAGGAATACAGAGGCGATCCGGAGGCGACGCTGAACTAATCCATTGACGACGACTGAGTGGTAGGCGTTGCAGACCGACGATTGTCGACCTAGTAGTGAGAGGTTACCGTTTCAGAGTGTTCCAATGCCACTTCTCCACGACGGCTGCTCGGGCCGTAAACGGGGCTGCAATGGATCGGCGCGAAGGTTGGGGCTGTCGTCGCCCTGGCCAGCACGGAGCCAAGCAACGACTGGAGCAAAAGTGGAAGTGGACCAGAGTGCCGAATCTGTTCTGCGGCCCAGGTTGCAAAGCGCTCAACCCTGCCTGTCAATACCACTAGCCCTTGAGTCGACAAGAGTCAATCTGTTTTCCGCTCCACCTCCTCAATGAATCGGTTCGATGACAGCTACCTTATTTTTTGATCCACTATCGTCACTGAAATTGCCTCTAGTCGATCCCCAGCTCAGTGGCTTGCTCAGTAATCGAACGGACGTTTGCGAACACCGAAAAACCCATGGACCTATATTCCAGGCAAGCAATACTGATAGGTAGAAATTGTACAACCAAAAAGCAACGCTACAAATAAATGAAGGAATAGGAAGGGAACGCGCTGGAAAAATGGAGGGAGCAGGTGCGGATGCACCATGTAAAACACACGAAATACGAAAGGTTGCAGGGGCAAACCGGAGCATTTCGTCAGAATGAGGCTTTTTATGGTCGATGAGCTTATAAATAGCCTGTGCCAGCCCACGCCATCGCCAAAGAGCTACTAGCAGATTTTGTCTCTCGATTTTTAGCCTTTCGAGAAAATAGCGAAGGACGCTGGCTAAAAGAATGAGAGATAAATAATATACGACAGTCGCTGCGAGTTGGCGGAGAGAAGAAGTCAACGCTTTTTTACGGTGTTCCAGTCATGTGCGATTAGCGTTGTGAACGAAACGAAGCTAATGAGTGAGCAGCGTGTGTTGGCGTACGTTATTCGGTAAGCACCCCCCTCCAGTATCGAACTGCAGTTGATCTCCCCTTGAACAGGTGCATCTTAATTGACCTATATATAGACTCCACGCAAGATATTTTGTCTAATAGAGTTATTTCTCTAGCGTTTCTTTGCACTTCTATCGGAAATGTTAAATAGGGTGCGAAAATAGATGGTTCTTAAATCGAATAGCTGCTTACATTACATAGAAGAATTTTCCCGTCAGCATGGCTATTATTACTTCTGAAGGCGTTACTTAGCGGAACTCAACGTCAGCGATGATTCGATCTACTTTACTTGATCGAATCGTTTAGTTGGCGCTTACACGAAACAGAACTTACCTCTGGTAAGTAAGATAAGTAAACTTATCTATCTTTTCTCTCATTTTTCGAACTAAGTATCAACCGTCCCGACTGATTCTGGCCGGTTCTTCGCGCATGTCTTATTAGTTCCCTCAATATAAAGTATAGACCCGATTGTTTCAATCGCATATTTACACTGGCATAGAACGCAGTTCGGGTAAAATATGTCCAGCGTATGCCACTATCTTTTTTCATTTGTGTCAACGATGTTTTTTTGTTATCGTCATGTCTTGGCATGTCCACTCTTCTTGTCAACATGTCTTTTTATTCGTTATTGCCAGCCGACTTAACTTCCCACATGCTGGTCGGGACCAGCTGTACAATTGCATATTGCTGTTATGGTGGTATGCAGTTATCCCAGCGGAAGCAAAGACATACGTATACTTCGCTCCATCTGTTGGGTTAAGGACACGGTGGCGGTAGTAGAGCCGCGTAGGGACGGCAGCATTCCGGATTGCGGACACTCAATTCCAAGCGAGCTGCTCGACGGCTGCTCGAGGGTCCAGGTGGGCATTAGGTGGATCCTAGCAGCGACCTTAGCAAGCACGATCAGAACTTGATCATCTAAGAGGCCAAAAAAAGAAATTCATCGTTCACGGTTCTACGAAGCCACTGTGCTTAGGCTGATACGGCACATCAAAGGGGTTAGGTATGGGAGAAAGTAGAAAGACCACCAGCTGCTTTTGGTATTTATCAGTCAATATTGGAAAACAGATTAAACTTAGATACTGATATATAGAAAACTCTTATTGTTGGCACTATTACGTTCTTTTTAGATCGATTTAGGTGCATAAGTCCACAGCACACGTATGTCTAGGACATATGACACGAATGATACTAGACGAACAAACGGTCCCTAAGAACTGCAATCATTGTCTCAGTATATATACAGTGATGTCCATCGTCGAAAAAAGCTTCAGTCTATAGGCTATTTTCTTGATATTTCCACTAAAAAAAACATTTGAGGACAGAGTTTGGACGCTTAGAATCCTTTAGAAACCGTCAGCATTGCCAGCTGGCGACGGTCTAACTAAAACATATACATCTTTAGAATGCTCGTACGTTCATCTTCTACGTGTTTCGCTTGACGTAAAAACGAGAATGTGCATATTGTAGCTCATTATTTGCTAAAAAAAAATAAGCCCGTTTAAGCGCCATGTTTTGACGTGCACTTTTGGGTTTTACCAGGCGTCTAGCTCTTAAAGATTTAAGGGGCACTTAGCTGTCGACCTTTCATAAGCCATACGATTAATGTTACCTTGTTTTATTATGTCACACAAGCTAATGCATGCAATTAATCGTCGCTACACAATCCATGTCAAGAAATATGTCATCTGTGAAAGGAGGTATTTCCTGTCCTCCTCTGCCCGATCTTACCCCCATGTTGTCAGGAACAACAACCGCATGGCCAATCGGGTAAACAACGAACATCTACTCTACCAGCCTTTTTCGTAGCATCATATCCAGTCTTATATATATATAAATTCACAGGATAACAGAAGACGGAGTAGGTGTGGCCAGTTTTACCGCAAAAGTGTTTAGGCAGAGCCGTTCTTTCTTCACCGGTAAGAAGATGAAGGTAACGATATGCTGAATAATTCTAGGCGGTAACTGTTCAATGCCCCCATCTGCCGCAGTACGCACGAGCTGGTGCTAGCAGAAGCAGTAGCGAACGCGGCGCCAAATAATATTGGGTGTCGTTACTATCACCGTTCATTAAGCCGGCTATGACCGACCGTAGTATGATAGTACGCAACAAACAACTATTGAACCCGAATGGCTGTTTCTTAGCTGCAAATTAGTCGAAGTGTCAGGGTGGTTGGCCTTGATGTAGGTGCATCGTGCCCGCTCTAGCTCGTGGCCCCGTGGCCAAAGTACGTTCAAACGACAATCGCAGGGCCTCTGCTCAGTCAAGCCGGTTGTACTGGCTCGTAGCCGTTCCGAGCACGAGTCCAGCGAACCAAACTCCGATGCTGCTCGTCGTGGCGATGAACACATGCGCGAGACACAAAGAGGCGGCCCTACCTGATAATAGCGGCAGCGACGGTGGAGCCTTCAAAGGCCCTCCCAAATCGAAAATCTTGGGGCAACGCTTAAACACAGCAGTGCAGCCACAAAAAGATTGGAGAACAGACATGACCAGTAGTGGTGGATTCAAAGACTCTGGTGGCTGGCTGGTAAAACTGTAGATACTACAGTGACTCAAAGCCGTTGTTGCTACTGTTAGCTGCTTCGTTGCGAGAATTACCACGGCCGCAGTGGGAGAAGCAGCAGCAGTGGTTTCAGCCAAAGGAGCCCATCAACCGAAATAACTCCTTTGAAAACACCGACTGGGAAAAGCGCTGGGAAGACGCTCAGGTGCGACTAGCCACAATTCTGACGGTTCACGCCACAAGTTCCTGTGCCTGGTGCGAATGGGCGCTTAGCAAACGGGAGACGGTGTAAATTGGTTGTGTACGCTTTGCAGATGTGTAGTTGGGTTGTGTGTTTGTATGTGTGTCGTGGTACTGGGATTTCTTGCCCCACGCGAGAGATTAGATCTTATCTCGAGCAGATGAAGGTCGTGGCGACTGATCGAAGACCTGCCAGCTTCAACCGCCGCAGCAGCAGCAATCATGGAAATAATAGTATAATTAATGACAGTATGTTTAGTACTATTTTCAACACGAAGCACACTGTTTGGAATAGCAACATTTTTTCGCACAACAAACGTCATGTAATTGTTACCCAAAAAGTAAAAGTGAACGAAAAAACATAACCAACCAGAGTAAATCACTAGCCTGACCTCAGGTTCCCTGTTTTGACCAAAAAGTGTATGGTACATGTGATGTACTTTCACAGCGCATAGCAGCAACAAGGGCAATTAATTGAATTTTATTAACATGCAAAGTTAAATTACTAAATAATTAAAAAAATAAATAAAATGATGAAATAATCGCAGCCGCCCACCCATACCCATGAAACATAGAGCGTTTCACGGACTTCCTGTTGTGTGGACACATTTGAGATGCCAGTATTTGTTCACTAAAACTCTACAATACATTGTTATCGGGAGATCTATAAATAATCTTGGCCAAGCGGATAAAAAAGATCATCGTAACTTAAGCAAAAGCAGTTATACTTAATGAATTAATGTGTTCTACATACAGATTCGGATCTGATCTGCTAGAGGACTAGAGCTGCCGGTTGATAAAGATCTATCATAAGTTCGATCCTGTCAACTAAAATAGACGACCATGATGTGTTGACTCTTTTCAATGTTATTTTCGCCGACGTCTAGATGCATTGTTTTTTGCTGCGCCCAAAATCCCTCGCCAGGCATAATTACGGCAGCAACAAAAAAATAAAAAAAAAAAAACACTCTTAAACATCTTATAACGGCAGCTCATCTTCATACTCTCTGTACTTATTTAATGTGAAATGTCTCATACTATACAAATAAACCAATCGATTTGTGTATGATATTTATGTGCAGAGCTTCATGCACGCTTAACGCCACGTATACTGTCCGCTTAGTGTGGCCGGAATAGAACGATTCGACCTAACTTAATGCATAGCTGTCGTTTTCTGCTGGGTTCCAGAAGAAACCGGTGCAGCAAGCGGCCTTGGATTTATCCGATGCGCCATTTCAGGCTCGTAGTTAAGCTCCCTTTCCATTTGCGCTCACCTACAGACACGGCAAAACTCTTTGATCATATATGTGCTTAAGGCGCGGGAGATGTCCGTGTCCTTATGATTCCTAGATACGTCTGCCTGCGAGAGGAGTCCGTGCGCTTCTGCCGTACTATTAGTAGATCGGTACGTAAACGTTTCTAGCTCATTTTTACCGTTGCGTTTATTTCTTCCTTTTGGCCATCAGTCGGCGTTATTCGTATTTTTCTTTCTCTCATTGTTGTCCTCCCTAGTGGGCGTTCCGCTCGCTAATTCCCCAGTTAAGTTTCGTATCATTAATATGGACCACGTGTGTCTTCCTCGTGCGCGCCGGTCGACCCATCACTCGATGAATGGGTCGCCGCTTGTGCGGCCAATTTTATACCCAACCTTTATCCATCTCCACCGTGTTTCTCCTTTTCACTAGTCACTTTCTGAAAGTAATCACTTGTCTTTGAATATCATCATGATTAATCTGCTTCTTTTTTCTTCATTTTTATTTTTTTCTTCGATAGAAGTTCGTACCCGTTCTATACCGTACCCTGTCTGTACGTTCGCGGGTGCTTCCGGTTGCCTGCTGTCGTCCATGGAAGCGCCGACTGCGCGACACTAGCCACCGCAGGCGCTCGTATGACTGTTTACATACAAGACTGTGCAGCGGCAAAAGCAGGACTTGGGCAAACGACCTTTTCGCTTCATACCAACCTTCAGCCTACGATCCCTGTCTATAGGTTTCCCGTCGTTAGTTCCTACATGGCTCGCACACGACCATACTTCTCCCATTCACTACTTTTCTTTCACATTTCGCCGATAGGTATCGAGCTGCTTCTGTTTGCCCTCCCCCTGCTCCTCTCTATGTTCGTACCTCGCTTTCGGCACCAACGAACCTGCTCTCGGAGCAGTAGCTCCAGGCGTAAGGGTAAAGTCAAGCCATTCCAGAATTGATGGTTTTACCTCCATATCTACTTTCCTTCATTACCTAACGTTAGTTCAGCAAATGCCAGCTAATCTCGCAGAGACCCGAATCCAACCTGAGTAATCCCTTTTCAAGACCAGATTCAGAGCGCGGTTTCAAAGATCGGATTGTTCGATATCGGTGACGGAGCTGTCGCTATCACTCGCGCTAGCCGTCTGTGCTGGCAGATTTTCCTCGCCCTGTTCGTTCGCGCTCGCTGTTCGATCGGGCTCGTCCTATGCGGACATAGCTGCCGTCTTCGTTTCTCCTGCTCGTCTGTCGGCTTGCCCCTACGTCGTCATAGTTCTTTCATTGCAATTACGTCTATGCACAGAAGCAGGCAAAAATGAGATATAAGGATAGAGTGTACGCAATGAATGGAACAGGCGAAACCATACTCGTGAATGGATCAAAGGCCAGTACGATCGTTCGCCGAAGGCTGCTGCCGACGTCGTTGTTGTTACTACTGATGATCATGACGGTTTTCTAGATGTTCATTCGTTTTTAAGTCAGAAACGCATCAAATATGGATGGTCCAAGTGAAAGTTGGGATCGCACGAATCGTCAATGAATGAGGTCGTCATTGAAATCGCAGGAAAAATAGCGTACAATTATCCTTCAGCGGCCAGGTTTCCTGAAATGCACGGAGAGTGTTCTTGGCATAATGGCCAAATTGTGTGAAATAAAAAAACATAATTGAAATAGTGTATCGGTAGCGAATAACTATAAAGCAACAACAACAATTAGTTGAAGCATAGGTGTGTATTACATCCTTGCGCAATTGTTTTTTGAACACTATGCAAAGGCAGGGGATATTCCAGACAGTTACCATATGTGGGCTATTAGACTCGTAAGGCGACTCATGGTGACATTTTTCGAAGAAATTCAAATAAGGGCAGCCACACCAACTAATAGCTAGAGAAGCAGATGTACTTCATTTTCAGGGACATACTTTCCTTGCTCCATTTGCGGTTTGATTATATCGAGATCGCTCCTTCGACTTTACCAATATTCGCTCAGCAGCCTGGTAATTACTTTTACCTGTTTAATTATTTGCTTTACCTAAATGCGTTAGTTTACTGCCCGTTCTCTTCTAACAATGCGTCATTGTTGCTGACCTATGCACAGTCGAGATCCACCCATGGGGGCTTAAATAGGTCCTCGAAAGGCAATCGTAGGCTGCAGGATGTTTCAGTTTTTAAAAAACATCAGTTTCTTCAGAAATTATCCGCTTTCCGAAACTCGTTGCGCAATTAATATCTGACTGGATTTTTATTTGATTTTACATTTTTCGCTGTGTCATTTCGATAATGGCTTCTTTCAACTTTAATTCGCTTATAACTTCCACCTGGAGCCCCTGCGCTTCCCTGGAGCATAAGTCTCATCTACGGCTTAGAATACGTACCTCCTTTTTGAACCCCAAAGTGTATTTATATGCAAACGGGCCTATTCAAACCTTTTGCCTTACGTCAATCGCGTAAACGAATTCAGCACTTACAAGATTTTCAAGGTGCTATCGTCTAATCGTGATGTCATTGGTTTCCTCAATATATCTATTTCCGTACATATGTCTGTTTCGCTTGGAAAATCAAAATAAGATCCGTGTCCTTTTGACATCACGTTGACTACCTATATTAGGATTTCCAGTATGAAATACGGGATTCGAGATACGAATTCAACCATTCGGAACCTTTTTATATTCATAGATGTTTTATATTTTTTGCAAAATATGCAGCAGCACTATTATCTATAAACTTCTGCTATATTGACGGAAGTTGATTTACTTCGTTGCTGTAGGAATGTATCATCGGTATTATAGGAATCGGTACGAAAGTCTCTAGAGTGGATTTGACATCGTACTGTGAGATACGATTTACCTACAGAGAGAAATGGTCGACGAAAGCCATCTGTCGGAGAATCGTCTAACGCATATCTCGATGACGGAGCCGTAAACTGTAACCCGTGCATGGCCATGCGACACGAAGTTATCCGACAGAAGGAGCGGTTTAGTCTCATTTCAGCAATTTATCTTCTGTTTATTGCATAGTTCATTCATCATTTGCTTCGACTCTTCAGAGGGCGCTTTAGGCCTAATCGACCAACTAGAACTCATGAAGCTGCAGTGGACCATATCTGTGCTAGACCATTAAATATACATCATAAACCATTGTAGCAAGCCATATATTTGCTTTATGCTAGTGTCCCGCTTGTACACCTGCGTTTCCACGTCACGATGTGACCGTCTGAGGATACAGTTTCATCAGGAGGCTCAAGTCAATGCAAGAATGGATCAGCGTCATAATGTAATGAAAGCGAGCGTCTCTACGTCCTCGTTCTCGATCCGTACTCAAATTAGGCTTTTTTAGAATTTTCCTGGCCGGTTTTATCGAAGTAAAAGGGTAAAATACTTTCCAAACCCGAGTGCGCTAAGTGCCGTAGACCGCGTTTTTATAAGTACGTTCCCATGGTAACCATGAGCATGCGGCCATTACTGGTTTAAATATTAACGTTTGGAAAAGCTCATAATAACGTATTTTTTATCGTGTCGTTTCATAAATCTGTTGGGCAAGTCCAGCGAGACCTATTTCGCCTAGACCTTTAAATCCTTGATGCTGTACCTGCAAACGATTTCGACGATTTCTTCATACCCTAAACATATCCGAATGTTGAATGAGTAGAACATTGAACACTTCGTTAGCCTTGTGCACATCTTTCATAAAATCTTTTTTTTTAGGCCAAAATTCCCTTGCTAGTTAACGACTCATTAATATAATATGTGTACGATGGGCTCTCTGCTGTATTTCATACTGACCGACCTAACCTAAACTCGTTCATTAAGATAAGCACAGAAAAATTATTGATTATAAAGAACAATGTTAAGCGTACGAGATTATTATTATGATTATATAATTGACGCCGCTCTTTATGGGCTTCTGCTGCTTCTTTTATCACAGTTTTTTTTGCTGTTTTCCCAATATCCTACACGCGTACCGCTTACAGTCAGGATACCTTCCATGTCATGTTCGTGTAGAATGATTAAAATACAATTATGCTTGCATATACATTTCGTAGCCACCATATGAATCCTTATTAAATTTACTCCTTTTGTTAGGTACATATACGCGGGTTTCTTTTTGGGTGTGGCAGTTTTTTCTTTTTCATGCTGCTAACAGCCTCATCTCTTCGGGTCTGGAGGAAGGAAATTTCAAGTACTGCCAATTGTTTAGTTCGTCTAGCTTCGAGATGAAGGCTCATAGGTTTAGAACGATTAACAATGACCCCTATGGAGGTCGATGCGTCACAAACGAATTAAACGTCATTGATTTGTCGTAAGAAAAAGGACTTCCATTGTGTGCGACGTAACAAAGTTTATAATACTATAGATTCATACTACATTGGATAATAACGTGTCGCTGTCGATTATGCCGAGGGACATACGACCAGTTAATCAGTGAGCATACCATTATAGTCAAACGGCTTGGCAGAAGAAACGAATTGTCTTTCTGAGATCCGACAGCAGACAAGTGCAGCACCGATACATGACAAGCAAAATCGTAAGTGCCGAAAGTGTGCGAAGCCGCTCCGCTCTGAAGTTCGAGTGAAAGATGGTAGAATACGATTTATCTGACCGGCAAGTCAACATTGCGTTTCTTCGTACGAAAAATACGATATATTTTTCGTATCGTATATAATAGTGACACAGCTCAACATAGTAACATAATCATATTAGAGAGCGTAACTGCTAGGAACCTTTTGCGCTTATGCCACATCGGTCCGTAACAAGACACTGCAAGGGTAAAGCCGACTTCACCAATGTAGATGATCACGTAATAAGGCGATTACAAGAACGGTGCGAATCGAATGCCCCTGCTTCATCGGTCAACTCTGCTCCCCAACAGAAAAAGATGGCTCTACATCGAGCGTTCAGCGATACTGGGCTGCATGCAAGTTAGGGCAGAGTTTTCCATTGCAGACCCCTCAACGCTCGGTGGGTCGTCAATGCAGCATGCGGTGGAGTGTTGTTGGTGCAATAATATCACCCTGCGTCACCCTTCGTCAGTCTAAGGCCTTTGTCTATCAGTTTCGTTGCTCAGAGAAATGAGCTGATTCGCGTAACGGTGTACTACGGCCCTTTGCCGGAACTTGGGTAGGTATTAGCATGACAGCTTTTTTGGTCTCAGCATATGTGGAGGTGCGGCTTCTAATCTTGAATACTTCTTCATGGCGTCGAAGTAAAAGGGCCTAACTATTTTGATTTGCATTTAGGAGTCGGAGATCAATCCTTTATCGCCGGTAACGATCCTGTATAGAAATGATTTTTTTGTCGTGCAAACAGGCAAAGGGGTATTCTTACACGTTTTTTTCGTAATTGTCATTGACTTTAAAAGGTTCACTTTTTTTTTTTTTCGATATTTAGCCCAGTGCATGGAAACGATTAATAATAGTTATCTTGATCGTTCCTAGTCGTATAGAGAGCCCTCGGATCGACGGGCCTGCATTTTGTTTAAAAGGAACCTGCAGTTCATTGTCGTTTGCCTCCTATGGTCGTTGAGAACGTGGTTTGTCTCTCAAATTAAAGTCTCTAATTCTGAAGCGAGTGAATCAAAACTGGGAAATAATAACGCTTAGGGCACGTTTACCTTCGTTTC